TACCTATTTGCCGCCCGTGTCGTCCTAATCTCGGTCCCACAGAGATCGCAGCTGATCATGTGAATTTGATTGCTGGGATCTATTCTGCTGGTAACTTGCCCGGGGGGGTCCTGCAAGTCAATAGTTACAGGCTCTGTGATCCCTTTAGATTTCTTTGCTTCAAGAGGGGGCACCATGGTGGGGGGATCAAGGATGTGATTGCGGTTCCGCGATGATACTGTGTACTTATCATTTTCCGGGCTCGGACCGGTGAGCCACATGACTACGGACATTGTGTACTTGCCGGAAGTGGTTTAATTGGTGTATAGTGTACCTGCTACTCTTCTCATATACTTGTGCGGGCAGAACGCGAACGCGTCGCCGCTAATGAACGCGTTTCGAAATGATGTTAATAATAGTGTGCGTGTTTGCCGAAATGATCGCCGCTGGATTGCCGACTCGTTGCCGCTTACGTCCATCAAATACCAAATAGTAGACGACAGCATGTGGGCATTTTACTGATAACGGTAGTGGACGCCCCCTGAGTGAGACTAAGTACTTGGAGACTACGACAATGCGGGGGGATTAACGTACGACAATAGCAGCCGAGATCAGCACGAGACAACCGCCAGCCGAGAAAAACCCGTCGCTTGCGTTCGGTGCGAATGGTGGTGGAAAAAGAGCAGACTTGTATTATGTTGGTCCATCAAGGAGAGTCCACGCCATCTTCGTCACTTTATCACTTCACTTCGCAGTGCGAAAGTTTGACACTGTGATTGCAGAGCGGGAAAGATCGTCAGTTGGAAGCTTTTTTGGGAAAATTCGTAAGTTAGTTTTTAATTTAGCTTCCTCAACCGGCATTTTCCCCACTGATCTCTTCCATTTATAGACATTCGCTAAGTAGAGTATCCTGCAGTACTTGAAATGAAAGCAGTTGAATGTTGTGCGGCAACTTCTATGGAACCTTCGAAGTCAAAATCATTTTTTTTAGCAACTTTACGGGTGTCCCGGGTTGATGTATGTTCCCGGGACCGAACAAAGGATCGCTGCAAGAACAGAAGAATTATAGTTAGTGGTTACGATGGCGGATTGTCATTTGCAACGTAACACATTCATAATGACGGAGAGTGTGTTGAACAACGGTGTTCACTGCTCAATCTGCAAAATTTCTCTAACATTGTGGAGTGAATGGAGAACAAGCGGGGTGGATACAAAGGATTGACAGGATTTCAAAACCGAACCTTTGACCACTCGAAGCTGAAGAACGTATTTTGATGACCGCTTTATAACCATAAGCTCATGAACAAGTTTCTGCCCCCGCAAGGAAATGAAAGGTTATCCATGAATTAATATCAGAGAGACGCCGTGCCTCTCAGTGCTCGAACGAGTAGGCTAACGACCTCAAGTTTCCCGTTACCTGAACACTCTATTTACACCCCAAATTGCACTTCATGCTTGATTCCTCATGAAGATTGATCATTGAACTTTTCCTGAAATCCACGCACCCAACAGTCAAGTGGAAAGGGATAGATTCCAGGGGGGTATTTTTGCCTGGATCTTAGCTCATTTTATATTGACTGTGCATGTTCGGTGACAGAATTGAGGTTAAAACCTATTAGTTCTCACGCCAAAAATGAGGGAAAATCAATACAACTCGTTATGAATTTACATGAGTAACTAATCCTTGCACCGCTTGGGCGACGATCCACCACCCGACTTGGCGCGTTTCTTCCCTTTCCCACTGGAGTCCTCCTCCTCGTCCGCATCGGTGTGCTCATGGTCAGAGAACTTGATCAGATCGTCGCCGGAGTCATCCAACGACGAGGAGCAGGTAACTGGTGGTGTGGGCGCACGCATGGTTGTGATGGGCCAGGGGTCAGGGAGCGGCTGCGATATTGCGATCTAGATGAGTTCGGGGGAGAAGGGACATGCGAAGACAAGCCCGAATGCCGATCGCGGGCTTCGCGGCAGGCAGCGGTGCGCTGAGCGACGTATGTGGATGGGTTGCGGCTGCAGTTCTTGTAGCTTTTCTGATTGTCCCACATATCCTTGGCGATACGCTCAATGCTCTACTTACCCTCAAAGCAGGGGAAATCTTCTTCAATCTGCGGACATGAGTGCTGGTATGCCAATGTCACAAAAGTCCGATTTCGCTTATAACCTTCTATAAGGCCTTTCTGAGCCTTAGCGTGAAATTAAGCAAGGTTATAAGCGGCTATAAGCGAAATCGGACTTTTGCGACAAAACGGGTGGAAAAATCTACCGCATTGTACGCCATCCCCAGTTTAGTTGGGTCTTCAGCCTTCCAGTTAAGCTTCGTATCGAGGCGAGCGGCCGACAAGCAATTGCGAGTATAAGACTAAAAACATGCCAGCTAAAGGTTGTGAAGCAAACAGGCTCGCACGGTGCTACTCGCTGTTGTTCGCACACAGCCAGCGCCTTGGCACACCTTACTACCAGGACAACAAATTTGCGCCAATATAGGTAATTGACGTTGACGACATCAGTTGTCTAGTGGCTCGCATACCAGCCCCAGGTCACGGCCCACGCCGCTGGGCGCTCTGTGAACGGCACGATGCCATAGGTGTGTCGGAGGATGATGTGTATTAATTAATGTACCGATGAGATTTTTTCCGTGAATTCACTATCTATTTGCCTGAATGAGTTCATTACGATTCGCCATGAAATCCCAGAACTTCAATTCATATAGCAAAAGTACGTGAATAGCAAAGTACCTGAAAATATTTCCACCATGTTTCATGCGGAATTGTGGAAGTCAGCCAGTGGGTCCCTGAATTCCAGGGGGTTTGACGACCACAGTGGAATTCAACCAATCTAATGTCCATTTCAGTGTCTTTTTATTCGCTTTTTAGCGAGAATTTTCTCGTTAAGCCTAGTTTTAATGTAGGTGAGCGTGTTTTGGGCGTTTTCTAGCGAATCCTACACGTATTTCAACGAATCCAACGCGCATTTCACGCTAAGGCTTTTTTTCTATTCATTTTTGTACCATTCTAATGTGTTTTTAGTCGCTAATGGACCGAAATTTTCACGTTAAGACTCGTTGAAGCAGGTAGGGTGTTTTTCCAGGCTTTTATTGAATCTAATGCGGTTTTTAGTGATTTTGAGTAATATCCCACTTCTAACGCGTTTCTGAGGTGAGCCTCGGAGTTTCGATTTCCAAAGGTTTCTAACGGTTTCCAGTTCTGTCCAACGCATTTTTAGGATTTCTAGTACAATTGCTACTAACGCGTTTTTGGAGCATTTCAGCTGTTCAGGGCTGGGCTGCGGCATGACTTGGGGAGTGTATTTAAGCTCGCATCCTCTTTTGGGTGGCTCTTTTGGGACAATAAAATATATTCATCACCATATACGACAGGCATGTATCCGCAAAAATAGAAACACCACTCACCTGGCGTTCCTGACGATGAGGTGCAGCCGCGGGTGCACGCAGAAGAAGGCCGCGTGGAGCGAGGGTGGGTGGGAATGGGGGCGCGTGGATCAGCGGGACGAGGGTGGAGGGCGTGGACGGGGGTATGCTGGCGCGAGTGTGAGCCCGACGGGGAGGCGGCGGCGGTACGGCTCTTGCTGAGATGGTGCTGCGGCACGGCGCCCATGGGGGGAGTGACCTTGGTCGTCTTGTCCTCGCTGCTGAGCGAGACGTCGGCAGCGGCGGGCTTGCCGGTCGCGGGCTCGGCGTAGGTCGCGGTGATGACCGGGCCGGCGGGGATGGCCTGCAGCACGGGGAGCGAGCCGGCGGGGATGACCATGACACGCAGCTGCATGCTGGGTGTGGCGCCCCACCAGCGCGGGAGCACGTCCATCGTGAAGGATCCGTCGCCATACGGTATGCTGGCCCACTTGTGCATCAGTGGCTGGTCGAAGCCGGGTGCGGTGAGCAGGATGTTGACGTGCACGGGAGAGTCCGGGAGGCAGTTGAGCTGTGTGGCCCAGGAGACGGTGATTGGCTGCAGAGCGTCGTGGGTGCTGCCGGGTGCGGGGGCGGTGTAGAAGGCGCCGGTAGCGCAGCCTATAAAGCACTTAGCAGAGTACATTGCAAGAAAAGAGATCCATACTAGGATCAGCGACAGCAGCCGCACGACGCAGGTGCTTGCCGAACTGTACGCCGGCGTGCCCGACCTTGATCTTGATGCCCTCAAAGCCATGTGTGTGTAAAAGGAGGGACGGACAACAAGGCGGCCGTCGGCGGCGACGACGACAAGAACGAAAAGGAAAGAATTTCAAACTCCGACGTGATCATTGTTGCACATGACACACCCCAAGGGGCGCTGTCGGTTAACCTTGTCAGGGGGTGATGCGCCCCGAGGAGGGCGAGGACGAGGGGCCTTATACTGCAGGCTTGTGTTAGATACAGTCCTCGTTGTTGTCGTTGCACCGATCACACACATCAAACCTTATTCGGTGATCATGACTCGCACTCCTGCACTTGTCCGCTCACTTTTTCGTATTCATTACCCGCTGGATTTTAGACTTTGTTTAGACTGCTCCCCCAGAAAAAAAAAAGGACGACATGCAGTCTTCCCACCGCGCTCATTTTTGAGCCTCCTAGCAAATAAACCGACAATTTCCTACCAAAAAAACCTCCAGATCAACTCCAGATCCCAGTTTAAGGGGGCTAGTTCGGTTCACTCATACCCCACTCCATATGGTATCCAACAACTCGGATATGGTGTACGGTACACATCGTGTATCCATGGCGCAAGTAACAGCGAAGTGCAAGCTGAAGGCCGGGGTTCAGCTCCCAGCATCCGAATCCCTCCTCTTCTCTCACAGTTTTTGTTTGGACCACAAAATCTGCTCCCAAGCACGCCTCCAAGGCTGAAGAATGACTCGAGTGCGGTGCATGGTGCACATCAGCTTAACATGTATAGGTCCCGACAGAAAACTATAAGCTATAAGCTGAAAGCCGGCGTTCAACGCATCCGAATGATTCGAATGTCTTTTTTTTTTTCTTCCACAAAAAATTGCTCTCTCCTGGCAAGGCTCCAACAGTGAAGAATAACTCGGATGTGGTGTATGGTGCACATTAGCTCTACATAGGTAGACACCAAATTCAGCTGAAGCTTGATGAACGGGGTTCGACTCCCCGCATCCGAATTCACACGTCCTCATTCCCCGCATCCGAATTTGCGTTTCAATCATTATTTTTCATTATTTTTCTTCCACAAAGTGTCTCCCCTCACATAGTACTGAATAATTCAGATGTGGTGCGCGATGCATATCCAATGATCCCATAGGACGATAAAGCCGAAGAACAGGGTTCGTCTGTCATTTTTCTTTCTACCTCATAAAGTCACATTCAACATCGAAGGCGAGGGTCTGACTCCCTATATGCAGATTTGCCTTTGTAAATTCGAATCATTTTTTTAAAATTCGCTGGAATAAATGGTGCAACCAACTGCATTTGGACTTTGGTCTTTTGCCTGCTAATGGTGTACTTTGCTGGGCTCAATTGGACTCAACAGCCTATGTGGATGTGGTGTATTGTGGAACACTATAAATGCACAGTTGTAAATATGCGAGACACGGGTTCAATTCCTGCCGGAGGCAGAATTCTGAGGAAGAGTCTTGACTTTGTCTCTTTTTATGTGAAGGTTTATTGGATATCCCGCTTTCGCCCTTTTATTTTGCAATCATATGTAGCGGTTGTATGGAGTGGTCAAAATTATGCAATCAATTAAGAGATTATGGGACTACTTCGGTGCACAAATCGGGGCTTAGGCTCTATACATATATTTGGAAGCAGCAGGTTTGATCCTGCCAGAGGTATGAGGAATTAAGAGAATTTCCGAAACCGAGAAGGAAATGGAAGGCATGTTGATCAATTTTAAAGAGCTAGAATAATCATATCTACATGTACATACAAGCGATATTATTGAGCTCCTGCTTGCATGTCTTCAATCTCGTAATATTATCAGGTTGGTTGAACAGTTGTTTGATCTTTCCCATCTTCTGTTGAGCCTTTACGAATGTTAAGACCATCTGGAGGGTTCTACCAAGCTCTGTCAATAAAATACAGCAAAGGGACATGCTTCCCTACTCTGTGAATTTTGCAATGTCATATACCATTGCAGTTGGAAGCACCCCATTGGCCTCAGATGTAGTATAGAGCTTCACAATGGCACAGAGGATCTCATGGATCTGCCCAACGATCTGAACACATTCGGTTTTGTATGATCGCACAGACTACGAGAGGAGCAGTCAATCAAGTATACCCGCCAATGACAATGCTTGCCTCGACACATTTCAGGATTGTCAAGCTCACTGCAGCTGTAGAGCCCAGAAATGGGACATGCGCAGAGTCAGCCATTTCTTTGGTGGTGGTGGCCGCAATAGTGGCATATTGGATTAGATTCTTGAATGACACCGATGTCTGCATGGGGGGCGATGTGCTATGTCCACTTTCTGAAGACCGCAGCTTTTATAAACCCCCAGAATGTTATATTTGGATCGTATCTCCGATGCGGAATGTGGGTTAATTGTCTCGCTTGTGAGGATGATGACATGGTAATATCTCCGCTTGCGGCTTTAATTGCATTACCAGTATTGTGTTCAGTTTTGGTTACTGTATGGGGTTGGCAATGACTACACTTCTTTTGACGAGGTGGTACATTTTTATCTTACTAAGGTAAACACCCAGACGGAGGCCTGCAAATAAGGCCAGCAATTATTCTCTTTTTATATGTAATGTGTCTTTTGTTGTGGGTTTTGTGCACATAGATTTGCAGTGTGTTGAAACAAAAATATATATGCGGAGGATGGGTTTGATCGTTTTCCTTTAAATTTTTATGTGAATATCTATTAATAGATGTCCCGTTTTCCCCCTTGGGTCTGAAGTCACATATATAGCGGTTGTGTGGGGTCGAATGGTAAAAAACGGGCGGCCGCTGGCAAATGCGGGGTTTTTTTTTATAGTTTCTGCTAGCCAGATACTTCAACTTAGAAACTCGTAGTTATTATAAACTCCGGTGCGCTTAATATATACTGCAATAGATGGTTTAAGCTGAAAGCCGGTTCGACTACCCGCATCCGAATCCCCCCCTTCAATCCGAATCTTTTTTTTGGACCACAAAATTCTCTTCCCTGGCACGCTTTCAACGGTGAAGAATAACTTGGATGTGGTGCGCATGCATGGTGCACATTGGCCTCATATGTTCTTGCATCTGAATTTACGTGCAAGTTGCCAATAATCCCGATGACGCGATATAAGCCAAAGGTCGGGGTTCGACTCCCATGCGTTCAAATTCTCCCTTTCCCCTTTTTCTTTTCTGAATGGTGGCAATACCTCGCATGTGGTGCACGGTGCTATATTTTCTCTATACTCGGAGCTCTTTTTCTAGACCCCTCTCAGATGATCTACGATTCGGCAATCTAAAAAGCACGCCTCCTGATCCGATCCCAATTAACGGGGCCCCGTTCAGCTCACTCATATCTCACTCCTTGTGGTATCCAACAATTCGGATGTGATGTACGGTGCACGTCAGCTGTAGATGGCGCATGTCCCCCACAGTGCAAGCTGAAATCCAGGATTCGACTACCTGCATCCGAGTTAGCGAAGTTCCTCAATTCTTTTTCTTTTTCTTTTTTTGGACTACAAAATCCTCTCCTACAAATGCGGGTTCCAAATGTACTGAGTAACTCGGATGTGGTGCATGGCGCACATCGGCTTAATATATCCCTTATATGTTGAAAGCAGGAGGCCGGGGCACATCCAAATAACACCCTTCCTTCAATCTTTTGTTTTTCTTCCACAAAAAATATTCCCACCTGGCAAAGTTCCAACAATGAAGAATAACCTCGGATGTGGTGTACGGTGCACATTGGCTCATGTCAGATATTCACAAGTTCATAAGCCGAAAGACAGGGTTCGACTCCCTGCATCTAACTGAAACTTTGTTGCTGCCTCTTTTTTGTTCGGCTTCACAAAATCCTCTCCCCACTCCGAGTTCAAATAGTATCCAATACCTCGAATGTTGTGCACATCGGGTCTTAATTTGTCGTATAAAACAGCAGTAAGCCGAACGCCGGGGTTCGACTCCATCCCTATTGACTCGTGTGCAGCTGCTGGCTGAATCGGCAGTGGCAGAAAAGGACCAACGCCAGTCCCGGGCCAGTAACGTCGCCATTGGATCACCATGCATGCCTTCCGCTGAAACTTCCTACCGAAATTATCTCTGAAATCTTTTTTGCAATGCCTTGATATTTCTTATGAGCGATCCATTTCGCCATGTAGAGCAACATATCTTCCTCTGCACGTATGCAGATTGTGGAGATCTATTGCTCTATCTCCCGGTTTATGGCAGACTCTGGAAATTAATACTCACACGATAAATCCAGAACGTGTACTCGACCTTGTCGCCACTTTCTTTAGTCGTGCGAGTGGTCTTCCGCTGTCTCTCAGCTTTTACAGACCCCTCAGCGACCCGGAATGCATGGACTCTCTCCGTTGTTGCTCGGGGCGACTTACTCAACTCCACCTCGAGATAACTCCCGATTACTTCATTTCCTCTCCTGGATACGTTGAGAATAGCCACTTTCACTCATCTCACCCATAACACAACCCAGCCAGTCGAGACTTCTCGTCACACTTCACGTCTTTTGCCATCTAGCATTGTCTGGAATGTCTACATCTGTTTGTCCCAACTGGTTAGGTTCACCGTCCAACATATCAATCTAAATGAATGGAGTCCGCGCCATCTTCGTCACTGCGTTACTTCGCTTAGTGTTGCGGAAGTTCGTGAATTTGATCAGATTCTGTGAAAGTTCGTGACTTCAGCTGGATAGTTACGAACTTTCTCATTTTATTTGATGCCAACAATTCTGTATTCCCATGCAACCTATTTCGAGCAGTTAGGGCAAGCGCACCGGTTAGAGTTTGGGTTAGAGGTTAGGGATAGGGTGTTCGGGTTAAGGGATAGAAATTTTCGCAGGAACGAGGCTTTAGTGTGCCAACCTGAGATGCCCCGGCTCGGGGGACCCCCCGAGCACAGCGAGGGAGGGGTGGGGCATCAACTGGTTGGCCCTCTTCATGCAAACGAAGGAAAAACATTGTGAAAGCTGCATTAGTTGAAGTTACGAGCTTTCTCAGATATTCATTGAATTCACAAACTTTCACATTTCCCATCAAACTCACGAACTTCCGCAACGCCAAGCGAAGTAACGAAGTGACGAAGGTGGGTACGACTCACGAACAAATGTTTGGATGTTCTGCGGGCAGCTCCGTTCCTACTTGAACTGTCGGCAAGGACTGCTCTCCAGCCGGTACTTCGGGTGGGAGCCCTAGCGGAACGGGGCTTGACCGGTCAGATTACTTACGTCTAATCGATCTCTCCCATTACGTCTGCCATCAAGACTCGTTGCTTCTGATTGCAATTGGCCATCCAGGGTCCGCCTCTTTCTCCTCCGTTCCTATTTCCCAAATCCTAGCTCACCATGCAAACCATTTCTTAACGATGCAATCCCATATACACTCTATTTGTTGTCGACGTTCTTGTATTTTTGTGAAATACTGACCACGTTCAATAAAATAGCCACAGCCGAGACCCCTTTTTGCGCTAGCTATCTCAGGCATGCCTGGTCTCGGTCGTGGATTCGGGTTAGGGTTGACATAGCGCCCTGGAAGAAGTTGAATTCCTCGTTCGGCGTGAACATGGCAGCGACTCACCCGTGCAGAGGCTCATTGGCAGTCCCCGCAATGCACGGTTTCTTGCCACCGTCCGGAACACACGATCTCTGCGCAGTTATTGGTGAGGCGCATATACCATGTTTTTATTTATTTCAAAGACCTACTCCCTTGCATTTGTATCCGTCCTCGCAGTCCGTCGGCCCTTCACATTCAGCGTCAGGGAAGGAGGGGTGCCAAGTGGTAGAAACCCCGGCGTCAGCTGGTGCAGCAACTGCGGGTGGAATGACAGTAAAAACAACAAAGATGAGGAGACGGGCAAGTTGCATTGTGAGTGTAGCCTATATCCGGATCCTTCGTGGCTTTTAAGGATCGGAATATTGATCATTTAATGGTAATCGAAGATCGGCTCCAGAACTTCTCCGACCTTGCGATTCATCGCGATGGCCACGGTGAAGTGGCGCTAGGTCGAACT